GACTAGATATAATTTGGTGCCTATATAAAGGACCAACCCCCATGTTATTTTTTCATGATTCAAGAATTAATAAGAACTCAAGAACTTTTGTTCATCTTCTTTGCTTTAGTATTTTCACCAAAATTCTATAGCAATTATATCGTTTAGAGGGGTGCGGTTTGTGAACCTGTGAACCTCTAGGCACTATCGGCGATTCAAGGCACTGGTTTGTGGCTTATCGGCAGTCGAAACACACGATCTTCATCACTGCGCCAGCGCGCGCGTAACCAAGCCGGTGGTCAGCCAGCAGCCGACCGCTTGGCCGCAGCGAGTCGGCGGTCCGGCCAGGAGATAAACCAGCCGGTTCAGACCGAAATTTTGAACAGTTCAGTGTTTATTGATCCGGTCCGAGTTCAGTTAAGTATTTCAGTTAATTTTTCAGTCCAGTTAGTCCAGTACGCCGGTATCAGTTAAGTCCGGTTTTCTTGCCAGTCAAGTTAAACCCCGAGATAATACAAGTTAAATATTTAGATCAAGTTGAGCATCTTAACAGCTATTTTCAGTCAGTCTGAGCATAGTTGTAACGCCCCGTTCGTTTATGAATAAATTGGATTATTATTATTATTATTATTATTATTATTATTATTATTATTATTATTATTATTATTATTATTATTATTATTATTATCATTGTTGCCATTATTATTAATTGTTATTTGTCTAATTGCCTAAATGAATTTATGTGCCTTATGCGTATTTATTATAAACTCTAATTTTGAATATTTTATATAATTATTAAATATTAATTTAGTTTAATTTAATTTAATTTTCGTCGATCCGAGCCGTAGTATTTTTCCTAAGTGTTAAAATGAGCTTCCGGCCCAAGTCTTTTGATTGCGCCCGCGCCAAGGCCGAAGGCCCGCGTCCACGCCCAGCCGACCGAACCCCCCTCACCCTTCTCTCTTTGGCTCCCATTTTAAATTCAAATTTTGAATGTGGGGTTTTATTTAGGGCAAAGATTTGGCCAGCCCTTTTAATTCCTTTTGACCGGCCATATTGCACATATTAAGCCATAGATTTGCCTCTCTTTTATGGTAAGTATGATCCCATTGATTGTGTGGATCAATTAAGGAGATTTTTCCTCATTCTCTCATATATTTCACAAGTTTTATCCCCTCATTTTACCTTAGCCAAAATCAGAATTTCAACTCTTTCCCTCTCCCAATCTCTCTCGCACTCTTCCTCTTTCGCTCGTACCCGGTCGCCGTGCGTCGCCTCCCTCGACCTGCCCCTCCTCCTCGTGTCCCCGTTCGCGTGAAAAGGACGTCGGGCGAACCAGGCCATCGCCATTTCGCACGTTCTGTGGCTATCCAGCACCCAGTAGTCGCGCACAAGCCATCCCCGCGAAGCCGCACGCACGCCACGCGAAGCTGCCGTGCGGAGCGATCGCATCGCAGCCCTCCTCGGCCCCGTTCGATCCTTGTTTCGTTCAAATTTCCTGAGAACGGTACAAGGCTGAAAACCCCCTTATTTTTATGTGTGTATATGTTAGATATTAAGCCTTGATTGAAATTGCATGATGGGGTTTGTATTATGATCGATTAATTTCGTAATACGTTCGTTATTGCGTTCATATGTATATCGTACATAAATCGTGATTTGGGCTGTGGAATATTGGAACATTTGAAGTCTTTG